CCAGCCTCCAGGGGCACACGGCATTCATGATTCAGATTATTCAGGCTGAAAAGGGAGATGCCTGTTATGAATTTCATTGTCCCCTGTGAATATTGCTCCCCCTGCAGAAAACAACTTTTCACCCCCACTGGTACAAATTCTTCCAAAGGGCAATTTTTACTTTTAAAATGCTCCAAATGGCATTTTTATTGTTAGGTAATAACCCCAGTCTCCTCTCTTAAAAATGCTTTATGCCTCATTTTCAAATTACTCCCCTTTAATAACACCACTCCCAGAAATAACACATAGGCTGCGTCCAGATGACCACCACTGTGCGGTATGTGGCACCGCAGACACATCTGCAGTGCCGCATACCACACATTCTGTTGTTCTCTGTGCTGCAAGGGAGCAGTGTGGAGGATCTCCAGGATATCCAGGGGTAAAAAAAATCTGCAAAAAAAAAAAGTGGAGCTGCACACACAGCAGCAGCATGTGCCACCCAAAGCCAGAGCATGGCTGGCTGGAGCTGTACTCTACTGCTGGCCAGGCTCCACGCAGCAGGATCGCCACTGCTGCAGCCCTGGGAGGCCCCCAGGACCCAAGGTAAGGCTGCTGGGGCCAGCCCAGTATTGGCCCCAGCCTCCCTTACCCCACCCAGGGTAACTTGCCATGGCACAGGCATTCCCTGGGGACAACTAGTGGTGGCACAAGGTATGCCACTGCTAGTTGTCCCTGGGGAACCAAGCACATCTGGACATGGCTATAGGCACCATTACAGTCTGAAAATTTGGTCTAAATGAATGTTTTATCTTTATAAGGGGGAAAAAAGCAAATACATAAATAAATTAAAAAGGAAACATTTAGGGGTAAAAACAATTGTGTGTCATTTACCCCTTTAATTATGGAAGAAAATGAGCTATGTTTGTGTGGGCCAGAGATTCCAAGATGCACACCATGATCCCTCCTTTCTTTAAATTCCTCAGAGAGTCCTCAGTATTTCTGAAATGTTCACATTAAACATACAGACCTTGTAGTTATTATCCTGGTCACAGAAGGAGGCTTGTTACACAAACACACAAGATGGTGAAGATGGACCCCTTTAAGACTCTTTTGTTATTTCTTGGGTGTCCCCCGCCACACAAAGCTGCCTTCAGTGCTTCCCCTGGACCTTTTGAAAGCCTTTGTAGGCCTTCTGTCGATCCTCCGGCTTTCTGAAGCTGCTCTCCCCCCATCACTCTGAAGATGCCACTGACAGTCTCATTGAAGTTGGTTCTGAGGCTTCTGGTTCCCTCTGTACATTCCAAACTCTGATGTTGGATGAAACCAGGCCTCCCTATGAATAAGGTCTTTTGTCTTCTGTGTTCCAACCATAGGAAGCTACAGGTAGAAGTCATTATATCTAGAAATGTTCTTTTATATGGATACTCCAGGCTTTGATACTCTCTATTTCTGGGCTGTAGTCAAGGGATTGTATTATAAAGCCAATGATTGATCATACTTTTGTAGATGATGCAGATATAATCTATTAATGTGATCTGTATGTTTCTTTTTCATTCTTTTTCTTGGTTTTCTTTTGTTTTCTCTTGCAGAATCACCGAGCCCTCTCAATAAGTCCATAAATAATACTTGAGTATGTTTAGGATGCCATTATTATACTGTCTTTTTCAATTAAAATACCTGGATGCATTCAGAGATCCATCTACAGTGTTTGCTAGTGGGTGGTCTGTGATAATAATCAAAACTCTTAAGCATATAATTAAACTTTTTTCTGTCAGTCAGGAATCTGCTTGCAGCTGATTGATCAAGGTGCAGAAATGAGTGGGTCAGGAGTCCAGGAATTCTGTGTCACTACTATAGTGCAAAACTTCAGTAAATCATAGTGTGCAACAATGGCCTGCCTTGTTTTTATACCAACTGATTACACACAGCTAGCACAATGCACTGTAATCTAGTACAGTTTCACACGAGGAGGCTGTAGGTCTGCCAGTAAACCTTGTACACATGACACTGCCCTCACACAGTCAAATCCTATCTCACATGGCATCATTGAAAACAAACATATACATGCCCAAAATCTAATATGAGCAGCAGAATGTGTATTTCATTTGTATATTAAAAAGAACTTATGACTTTCAGCCTGCTGCCTTACACTGAGTGTTACCCAGATATTTGCTTTCCTTCAGGAGGATTATAGTGTGAGGCCTTTTACCAAGGATCGCTGAAAATGGCATTGTGGTGGATTATATATTGCTTAAGCATATGTTCACGTGTAGTCTTTCTGCAACTCTGTCACATTCTCAGTATGTTAAAAAACAAAAGTTATTTTGCTGTGTGTTTGTGGTAAGGATTATCTTCCCTGGTGACTGAGCACAAAAGGTCTCCAATTCCTAATTACCACTTTTTTCCTCATAATAGTTCCTAATGGTGTTTCAAAGATCTAGGGCTTTATTTTAAAGGATTTCTCACCTGTGTGAAGCCTTGTCTACACTAGATTTTTCCCTCAACCATTCCCCAACATTGTTGGCATAAAAGCAGTGTTAGAAACCACCGCACATTGTAGGCCAAACATGGTAGGGGGCTAAGTCGCCAACACTGCTTTCAGCACTGATTCTACTGGGAAAAAAACCTACTTCATATGGTGAAGGAAAAAAATGTCAATAATCAAACTTTTATTCATGGAAAACCAGAGCTCCCAACAGAGTTCACACCATTTTAGCTGAACCCCTGTGACAGTAGCTTCATATTATCTTGTTCTCAGAGGAACTCAGAGACTAGCACTATGACTGAGGACAGACCAAGCATGGGTGCAAGAAATGGGAAATTCTTCCTCCAGATATTGTACAGCAACAAGGCCAAGCCTGATCTTGGTCTTGGTTTTTGAGATTTTTCAGATGGAAATTAACTTCTGAGAAACGAATGGCTCTAATTTGTGGAGATTTTTAACAATCTCAGGATGAAAAGAATTCCAATTCCATAGCAACTGTAGGGGAATCAATCTTACCTCAGAAATGAGTTTATTAAAATGCTATGATGCTTTTATTATTTACATTAAACCTAAAGCCAGGTTTTACCTGGAGGTGCACAGTAGTGACAAGGCATTTGCAGCGTTGTCTGCACATGCATAATTTAAAGTTTAGCAGCAGACGGGAATATTACTTAAGCAATAGAACAGCAAATGTAAGGTTAATGATTCTTCAAATAGATAGTCCAATAAAGTAATGTACAGGTGTAGCCCAAGGGACCATATAAACGTCAGCCAACTAGCTGTTTTTGTATGTGGGAGAAACTGCTATTCTTTCTTAACCTAAACCTCATCAACTGTGTCACAAGTGAGTACAACATGATAGACAGTGGTGACACGAACAGATGAACCCCAAGGTGACTGACTACCCTGTGTATGATAATGCAAAGCCGAGTTCCTTTAGAGATGAATTACAGTAGTGGTCAGATGCCCAAGGTCTACTTTCTCCCTTAAGAAGTAGCCTCCTCAACTATCTTCACACATGAATTCCATGCATATTTGCCTTCAGAAAGAATCTCAGACTCAGGGGAATCAAATCCTTCATAGCCTAGTGAAGCTTAACACCTTTGGAGCCCAGCCTTTCAAATGACTTTTGATTACTATTAAATAGTGCCTAGTCTCTTACCTATTACTTATGAGCAAAGGTCTAGGGCAACATTAAACTGTCAAAAGAAACGTAAAAATGTTACACAGATGATTTGTCATAAAATGTTTAGATTAATTTAAATTTGACATAGTCCTGTGTTTTGTTATGGCCCTGTCTGGCTTTGTCCATGCGGTTTAAGAAAGAGAAGGTGGAGACAACTTCAAAACTCCTTCATTTAGGTGAGGCAGGAAACATTTTTATGTAGGCCTAGGGCAAAAGATTGGTTAATCTATCACTTCCATTAGGAGCTGGATAAACAAATGAGCTACGTTTTTATGCTGGTAATAGTTTGTTGCTCAAAATTAGAAACCAAGTCTTGCTTTCATTGGCACCCTCGTACATTTGGAATAACTGCAGGAATGCAACAACCTTACACCAGGCGTAAATCCAAAATATAAGGATTTGGCTCATGTCTATGCATCCAGGCAGATTCTGAACATGGTTTAAATTTTAAATCCTTCATTTTCCATGTCCCATTTTAGTTTATATTCTCCATCTGGAATGTTTTATTTGATGTGGTGTGGTGGTTCACCACTTTCCACTTCATCTCTAAATTATGTTAGTGACCTCTCCTGACAAAAGTTCATAGAACAGGGAACTGGTGAGTATACTTGCTAATATAAACTGAATGCAATCTAATAACTCTGAGGGCATCAATAGTGGCTCCAGAGTTAAAGCTATTTAGAGATTTACAGTTAAAACAGGACTGAAATCCTCCCGTTTCAAATGTTTCTGATTGAATTTGATCTACTGATTTGATAGAATAGCTCTTGCATACGACAAATGAATTTTCTGTATACATTGTTGCCACATATATTATATTTCATAAGGAAAGCATTTTAAAATGTTGGACGAAGGTAGGGTCCATCCAAGGTTTGGTTATAGGCTCTGAGGCAGGATGAAGGGGCCGCGGGACTGTGCAGCTGGTAGGAATGTTCTGAAATGTTCTCTTTCTGAAGTATTGTTCCCTTTCCACACATTTTTTGTCAAATGACTATCAACTTCATGTTTCATGGACACAGATTCTGAGAGCATCTCATGGCATGGGCTGCTTTTTAACATTCAAAATTAAACCTCTTAAAAGGCATTTCCCTTGCTCAGCATCACTGGTTTGAGTGATGTCAAGACGAGCCAACAGAACTGCTCAGTGCCCATATCCTCTCAGCCTCCATTGCTCACATACCTGGTCACAGAAGGTCTGGAGGTGGCAGGTGGCAGATGACAGGATCTTCTGAAGCAAGGTGGGTGATGTGGGGACAGCAAAACTGCAGGGTGAATAAGGTATGTGTGCATGGTGTCCTGAAGGAAGAGTGGTCCAGGGTTTGATGTGCATGAGTGCTTGAGGCCTGATAAAAGTGCTTATACTCCATTGGGCTGCATCTGTTGTGGAAGCAAGTAGAGTTGGGGAAGAGGGCATGGGGCTGGCAGTGGTGAGGATTTGTGGCAAAGGGGAGCCCACTGCTTTTGTTATCAAATTGACAGCAGCTGAACAACTCCCTTTGCAAATGCTGTTGTATGCGTGCTCCTTCACTACCTTAGTTTCTCTCTGCTCCAGACTTCATTGCCAAGACAGCTGAGCCTCTAAGCTGAGGCACTGATGGATCTAGGGCTCTCCATAGCCTTCAGAGCATCAGAACTGAATTAGGGCATCAGGCTCACTTGCTGTCATGATTCCTCAGTTCAGAGGCCCCGGCTCTCCCCAACACCATCTGACAGCCACTGTCTCCAATTATATTTCTGCCCCATTCCCACAGCCCCACTCAGCCCTTATTGTGCCCATTTCTTTTTTCCCAAGTGCACCACACAGTAGTATTGTGGATAGCTGCAGGGGCAAGTGGGATGCAAAAGGGCAGGAGGAGAAATGTTGTGAGAGTAAAAATGGGGAAAAGAGAGCTTTTAGCTGTAAGGGCTGAAGTGGAAGAACCAGAGGGGAGAAGGGGCTACCTAAAATATGTCACAAGGGTAGCTTCTCTCTGCAGGCCCATCCAGCTCAAGAACCATTTCTCACATCTTTCCCCACAGCCCTGCAAAGCCCTCAGCCCTTCATACTTTTCTGTGTGCCTGCTAGAGCCTTCCTCACTGCTCCCTGTGTGTTTCCACTCCACTGTCCTGTATCTTCATTCTTCACCATTCTTCCATACTCCCCCACACCATTCATCACTTGTCCATATGTATGTATGTGCATAGGTATCAGTAGTGATACATGGCCATAAATCAGGATTTAGTAGTGATGTGTGGTAGAGAAACAAGGGGCATGGTAAGGTCTGAAGGTGGGGGTGAAGGAGGATTCAAGGCTGCAGGAAGGAAAGAATATGGGAAGGAGCAAACAAAGGGAAGAGCTCTTAGGGGGACAAGTAGGAAAAGTAGTGATGTGTGCAGGGTGTGAGGGCTAGTAGGGCTCTATGGAAGAAACTTAGAGATGAGACCACATGAGCGATCCATCTCACCTACCAATACTTACATATAAAGTCCACCAAACAAAAAATGTTAAAAACAGCTGCAGTTGTTCCAGTGCTTACATCACCAATGTAAGCACCAAAAAGCCATGACATCCCTAGTTAAGTCCTCCCCCTTTTCTTGCAGCCTTTAACTGTAATTTCACCTTGAACACAGCCACCACATCAACATTCATGACCCACCTGCCTCCACCCTCCACCGCCATGCAAACATGCAACCATAATTCTACACACAGGAAAACATCACCTCTGGAGAAAACAAAGGAAGCATCAGAGTTCCTCAGTGGATCACCCAAATGTCACTGCTACACACTTTACAGGCAATAATTTCTCAAAACAATAAACTCCATTGCACACTATTTCCATTTGCAAAGTAAATTATTTAATCCACACCACTCACAGTCCTCCTAAACAGCACACTTTTAACTCTCAGCTAAAACCTTTAAACCATGCACTCAGTCTACTTCAAATAATGCCATTCACCATTCCAAAAAAGAACATCCTATTGTAACCACTGCACATGGTTAGAGTTTATGGTAACACATTTTGTGTGGAGACAGGACATGTGGGTTGTGGGTAGGGGATGTGGGTGAGATGATGTGGAGAAGGTGAAACCATGTTTACAGAGTGCAACTTGGGTCAGGACTAAATAACAAATCTTTTGATTCTTTTTTTGCACATTTGTGTTGGTGCTTTGTGTACTGGAGGAGCAATGAGTTTGGTTGGAATAAATATTGGGAAAAGGCAAAGGTAAAGTTAAATAGTGAATGTGGAAATCATAGCACAACCAAAATAATTATTTTTTTTTAAATCTCCTTTGTATATTGTTGTATTTGTGCTCTGGGTTGGGATATTGACTTTGCTAAGAGCTAGCTTCCCACGTAGATTCTCATTTTGTGTGGAAGCATAATGGTGTATTTATGCCACCATACTCAGTTGTCTGGGATATGCATGTGATATAACATGCAGCAGTATGCCACTGTAGGATCAAGTAGGAAGAGCAGATGGCTTAGGAGAGTAAAATCATTGTTTAGACAACAAATATCACCCATGCTTAGCAAATGTAGCAAAGGAAATTGTATTAAAATGTGTGCACTTACTATATAAGAATATGAAGAAATATTTAAAACAGCCCCTTCTCACAATTTTCATCATTTGCCATCCACAAACACGAGTGTATATAACCCGCCGACCACGTTCAAGTTTCTGTTAGTTTTAACAAAATAAATGTAAGGCAAAACGCTCAAAAAGAGCTGACTAGGTGCATTGGTTTTAAGCATCCAACTTGAGACATTTAAGTGTCCCAGCAGAGAACCCAAGATTTGAGGTGCCCCAAATCAGAATTTACTTCTAAAAACATTGTCCTGGGTGTAGGCAATTGTCATTGAATTTGTAACCCTGGAAACTATCCATAGAGTAATTGTAGCAGAACTTGTTTTCTCATACCACCGCTATCGCTATGCTAAAATCTTGAGCACCAAGACATAATTTCAAGAGCATGACTGATTCAATCATAAGCAGCAGAAGTGACTGCTTGAGGCCCCACAATCACATTTTTTAAAGACGCAGGCAGGGCAGATCTCTATCTCTAGCTACCAGACCAGTACTCCAGTGGCTGCTGAGCTATTGCGTTTGGAAGTTTGCACCCCAGCAAATCATAAGGCTCTGAGAAGAACTCTCTGCTGACTGAATATGTAGCCTTCCTGCCAAGATTTCTTTTTTTTAAAAGCTGATAAGGATTCAGGCACCTACCCACATTGAGTTAGCTGATAATCACCAGCTCATTTAATGCAAGAGTTGAGTGTAAATGGCCTTGAGATAATACATTTTGGTTACTCCTGCATCTGCATTCAAAAGGGACTAGTGATGCGGGGATCACTCTTTAAGGGCCTGTTACAAAGTCCACTGGCCTCAATAGACAGAGGCAGGAGAACCCAGTCCTACAATATGGTGAATATAACCACCATCCACGCCTTAGGGGTTTCAAGGGAGCTGAAGTTCCTAAGCAATTTACCAATGGTCATCAACTTGCTGCTCCCCAAATAGAATTTCAACAGATCCTTGATTACCTTGGTACCAGATTGGTGATACTGATGCTTTCCAGTAGCAAAAACGTTTTAAAAAGCAGACAGTAAATGTTTGTGTGGCATCAGCAAACACATTTTTTCTGCTATAGTACTGAAATCTTTATCCAAGTGAGGGATTGTTTGCTTCAGTGAAGCAGTGTCACAGAAGTGGCAATAATGTTTAGGGTTGGCAAGCCGGTCAATTGACCGGTCAAATATTGTCAATTGACTGGTCAATTGACTGCATATTTTTGACAGGTCAAAGCGAATAGCAATTTTACAAAAAAGCTACATTTTTTTATAGTTTCCTTGACAGAAATATGATTTTTTAAAAATTGTTTTTGACACATTTCTTAATGGAAATGTTGTGCTTTTTCTGTGTATTATTTGGACCTATTGGCAATTTTTCACAATTTTTGACTGACGTGTGACTGGTCATCCCCTTCCTACTCAAAGGCAACCCCCTGCTCTCCTCTTCCCCCTCACTCCCCTACCTGCTTCTGCTGCATTCTTCACTGCTAAGAGCAGAGTGAAGCTCTGGAGCCAGTGGAGTTGAGCAGGGGCAGGGTGTAGCTAGGAAGGGGACAGCAGCAACAGCCTGATGAGAGTAGCTGCTGCCACTGTGCCTGAAACAAGTGCAGGGAATGGGAACCCCCACTTCACCCCTGCTGCCCTGTCCCCATCCCCAGCCTCACTCAGCCACAGCACAGTGGGCAGGAATGGCACTGGTGCTTCCCCTCCCCTGGGACGGGAAAATCAGGTGTGGAGGTGGGGAAATGGGACAGTGTGGACATGGTTTTAGGCAGGAAGGGGAAGGGAGGGAGGGTTTCCACATGCTTTAGGGACTTAAAAAGTCCCCAGAGGTTCCCATGGTGCAGTGCACTCCAAAAACGGGGTGCAGCCACATTACTGCATGGCCTTTGGATCCCTCCCTGGTCAACCCCTAGCCAAACTACACAACTTGCTGGTCACAAGCAGCCAGTACCGTAGCGAGGGCGGGGGGTGAGCAGGGCAACTGCCTGGGCACTGAAGCGAACAGGTGTCAGTCAGACCAGCCAGGGCAGGGCATGGGATGAAGCTGCTTGTGGCTTGTTTGGGGGTAGAGTGGGGATGGGGAAAGGGCAGCTCTCCTTGCTGCATGGGGGGGGGGAGGGCAAGTTGCTGCTGTGAGCTTTGTCCCTAGCCCCAAACTTCATTGCTACGGCACTGCAAACAGCAAAGAAGAGTACATCCACATCACTATCACGAGCAAGGCCCCTTTCTCCTCTGTGCCACCAGGCAAGAGTGAAGCAGAAAGGCCTTTGCAGACCCGACTGCCAGAAGCGGGGTCTTTTTCACTGTGCCAGCACCCCGCAGCCTGTGGCTGAAACAGGGCCTGCGCGTCCTCGCCCGCGGTGTCACTGACAGGTTTCATTCCCTACCCCCCCAGCCGTAGTTTCTATCCACCCACCTGTCTCGGGGAAGCGGGA